TTGGTGCGTGGTTGGCCCCCCACAAGAGCGGGTGGTCATTCTCCCTGTCGCCTCAAATCTGCAGAGAGATTCTGTGTGCTACATGCTCAAGCACATGTAAGGATCACGAACGCTTTGACGGAGTTACTGTGATGTCATTCAAAAGAGAAGCAACGGAGCCCAGAAAGTTACCCGCCACAGCACACTGGGTGTGCTGATGGGCCATAGTTTGCACTTGGGAGTTCTGTATTCTTCATTCATTCATTCACTCACTTACTCATTCATTCTTTCATTAAAAATAGTTCTTAAGCCCTCACTACGTGCTAGGTAAGAAGCCGTGATGTCACAGTAGTTAAGAGTTTGGCTGCTAATCAAAAAATCAGAGATTCAAATCCATGAGCTGCTCCACAGGAGAAAGACAAGGTGGTCTGCTCTTGTAAAGATGACAGCCTTGGAAGCCCTACGGGACATTCTGCCCTGTCCTCTGGGGGCGCTGTGAGTCGGAATCACCTCCAGGCAGTGGGTGTGGTTTGGGCTTTGCTTCCATAAAGATTGACAGCCTTGGAAACCCTGTGGTGAAGTTCCACTCTGTCCTCTAGGGGCACTGTGAGTCGGAATCACCTCCAGGCAGTGGGTGTGGTTTGGGCTTTGCTTCCATAAAGATTGACAGCCTTGGAAACCCTGTGGTGAAGTTCCACTCTGTCCTCTAGGGGCACTGTGAGTCGGAATCACCTCCACGGCAACTGGTCCACATGCAACCCAGGCAGGAGTCCCTGGGTGGCTACTCAGTTCAGCCCTTGGCTACTAACCCAGAGGTTGGCGGTCCGAGTCCAGCCAGAGGCTCCGCAGGAGGAAGTCCTGGCCGTCTGCTTCCGAAGGTGGGAGTCGCTGAAACCCGGTGAGCCCAGTTCTGCTCGGACACACTTGGGACGCCATGAGCTGGGCCAACTCAGCGGCTCTTAGTAACCAGTGCACAAGCTGGGTGCTGGGGGTGCATTGGGACGAGGAGCAGAAGCTCACGTTGCAGGGGCCGGCTGCTGGGCTTGGGGCCGGCTGCTGCTGCCTGCGTGCTGAGTGGACCAGCCCTTCCTGGGAGCTGTGAGTGGACCACCCCTTCCTGGGAGCTGTGAGTGGACCACCCCTTCCCGGGAGCTGTGAGTGGACCATTCCATCCTGTGAGCTGTGAGTGGACCATTCCATCCTGTGAGCTGAGTGGACCATCCTTTCCCGGGAACTGTGAATGGACCATCCCATCCCGTGAGCCAAGTGGAC